ACACGATCTGGGCAATTTGTAAATTCTATCCATTATAATAGCTTTGTGGTGGCATATTGTTTTGATATTTTCTAAAATTACTAACAATATTGAACACCATGTCATGTGCTCAATCTTATATGTCATTTTTGTTCACATATTTTGCCTATATGGATTTATTGGGGTGGTTGGGATTTTGTTGCTCTGTAGGAGTTCTTCGTATATATGTATGTGCATGTATGTACATGGAGTTTTTTTTCTGTCTGTGCCTTGTTATTTCTCATTTTCTCAATAATGCCTTTTGGTGAATCCTATTTAATAAATTTTTGCCTAAAGTCATGAATATATTTTCTCATATGTTAATCCAGAAGCTTTATTGTTTTTGCTTTCATTCTGAACTCTGTTGATCCATTTCAAAATAATTTTTGTGTATAAGGTGAGATGGAAGTTAAGGTTCGTTTTTTTCTATCTGAATTTTAATTCAGTGCTGTTTATTGATGAAACTTTGCTTTTTCTAATTAAAAATTGATTATGTAGAAATAGGTCTACTTCTATAAATTTTATTTCATTGTTTAGTCACATATGATTTCTTAATTACTGTATCTTTGTGGTAAGTCATAAAATCTGGTAGTGTAGACTGCCAGCTTTGTTCTTCAATATATTCTTGGTCTTTTATATTTCCATATCAGTTTTATAGTCAGCTTGTCAATTTCCACAAAAAAATTCGGTTGGAGTTTTGCTTTGGATTACTTTGACTCTATAGATCAGTTTAGGGAGACTTAACCAATTAATATAAGTCTTCAGTCAGTGAAATGGCTTGTTTCTATTTTTTTGATATCTCTCAGCAATCTTTTATGGTTTCACAGTACAGATTTTTAACATTATTCATTAGGTTTATTTTTAGTTGTTTGTTGATATTATGTAGAAAGACGTGTTGGTTTTTATTATTCTAGAATCCTGTAATTTGCTAAATTTATTTGTGAGTTCTAGTACTTGGATCACAAGTTTCTTTGGATTTTCCTGTGTATGCAATTGTAGCATCTGTGAAAAGACTTTTTTGCTTCTTAATTTCCTATATTTATGACTTTTTAAATTGCGTTATTGCAGTGGACAATAGTACTAGGATTAATACAGTTTTGAATAAGGTAATGAAACTGGAGGTCTTTGGCTGTTCCTGGTCTTAAGTATAATAATAACTGTAAATTTTAAAATATAAATCTTTAATCAGACTAAAGAAGCTTTGGTTTTCCCCTACTTTATTGAGAATTTTTAATCATTAACAGGCATTGAATTTTATCTGAAAAATTTTTGCATCTTTTAAGATAATCTTACAATTTTTGTTTTTCATTCTGTTATTATTTGAATTTGAAACGTTCTACCGAGAAAAGAAAAAAAAATGGAAACGAAGTCTATGTAAATAGGGAAGAATGGAAGGGGTGAAGGGTGCACAGGTAATGGAGAAAAAAATAAAAACCAAGATACATCATGTACAAGTACAATCACCCAATGATAAATGTAAACGTATTGTATACCTAAAATGTACCAATAAAAGAATTTAAGGAGGAAAAAAAAAGTTATGCTAACCTTGCCTTGCTTAGATAAACCTACTTAATCAAGATGTATTAGCCTTTAAAGACAAGTTTAAAGTTTGTAGTGCTGATAAAACATTTTTGTAAATGATTGTTACATTTATGTTCATGTGTGATACTGGTCTGTAATTTTTCTTTCTTGTAATGTTCTTGTCATGTTTTGGTTTTAGTGTTGTGCTTGCCTTATAAACCAAATTGAAATATTCTCTCTGAAATATTTTAAAAACTGGTATTTTATAAGGAAAGCCATCTGAGCCTAGAGTGTTCTAGGTAAGAAGTTTTTGATTATAATTCAATTTAACAGGAAATTATTATTTGTATTATTTCTTTTGTTTTGGAAACTTGTGGTTTTTAAAATCAATTTAACTGTTTCATCTAAATTAAATTGGCATACAGTTATTCATAATGTCCCCTTAGTTCCCTTTAAATGTCTATATGGTCTGTAGTGATGTCTTCTCTTTCATTTTGATATTGCTGCATTAGTCAGTTTTTTGTTACTAATAAAATACTGACACAGACTTGTTATGAAGTAAAATAATTTATTTTTCTCACAGTCTGGAAGCTCAAAGTCCAGATGATGTAGTTCAGGCTGTGGTGAAGGCCCCATGGGGATGGCAGATAGAGTGTGTGTGGGAGGAAGGATAACATCTCAAACCAGGAGCAGAGTTTGGGTGGGGCCAGACTTAATCCTTTTCTAACAACCCTCTCTGGAGAACTCAAGGGGTTGGTTAAGAACTACCTTCTGAGAGCATACCCCTAGTGACCCAAGGACCACCTCCTACACCCTGTCTCTTAAAATTCTACCACCTCCCAACACTTACACCTTAAGAACAAAATCGTTAGGGCTGGGGATTTAGCCAGTGGTGCTGCCACCTGCCTCTCAAGCACAGGGTCCTGAGTTCGATCCCCGGTACCAAAAAAAAAAAAAAAAAAAA